GTCCAAATCTGTCGATGGTATGGACCATCGAGTTATTATAATGTACGCTAGAGGTTCAAGTGGCGCTAGTGTGCTGACGCAAATTGAAGCAGACAGCAACCAGTCAAAAATTGACTTCCGGTAATGCATTTCTATGGGAAAAAGTAAGCGCATTTTCTCCCTGCTCTCGATCATGAGAGCAAATATCCCAAATAGTTCGTACGTACTAGGTAGTTTGGAACATTTCTCAGTGACGCCGACGAAAGAATTGGTCAGTTACGGCGTTTTTCTCTCGATTTCATCGCACTAAAAACGGTGCTAAAACGGCTTCGTACGTGTATTTATGTGCACTGTCGGACACTGTTAGCGCGAACGCTGCGTCGGCGATTTCCAGCATGGGGGATATACATGCCAAGCGGACGAAAAACATCTAGAAAATCAAGAGCGGCGGCAAGAACTACGCAGCAACACCGGATCAGTAACTCGCAGTGCATGTACGATCAAAATAAATTGAAGGCCACGTAATCTATTCCGATTTTAAATAAGTGAGTACCGCTTTATTCTTTCTGTCCTGAGCGAAGCTGCGTGTTCTACGTTCAAAATATCCCCCGCGCGCTAGACATCTTTGAGAACAAGTGCGCGATAAAAGCTGCCCGGCAGAGAAAACAATACGAAGAGACACCTTTCATATCCCACGGACTATATTCTCTACCTTGAAGGTTTTTATTCGCTCATGCACGACGGGATCATTTTCATATGGTGACAGGACTGGCATATTATCAATATACAAGCGTCACCGGAATGCTGGCGAGCCTTGAACACACTCTATATTCGTTTCGATCGTAATTTTGCTTTGAATCGTCGCTTGTTTTTACACACCTGCTGCGGAACACACGTTTGGGACTGAAATGCAGCGAAGTTAAACATCGCTCACTGATGAAGAAAAATGCGTTAACTAAAGCAATTACACTTTTACAGTGTTAATCAAGGTACATACTATTCGGTACGACCGAAATAACCAAAGTGTTCCATGTTATTTTCCGGCGAAGGGACAAAATGCACGCGCGTTTTCCCATGGGAATACACAGGAAGACTGGAAAAGTAGACTGGTTGCTGTCTGCTTCAATTTGCGTCACGGAAGTCGCATAGACACTAGCGCCAGTTGAACCTCTAGCGTACATTATAATAACTCTATGGTATGGACAGTCAATTTATCGATAGTTTCGCATGCATCACTACGACAGGTCCCATTTCAAAATGCGACTTCCAGGGTTTCAGGAAGCTCAGGCGATATTGTTTTTCTCTGTCACGGACTGTTTTCACATTTCTGGAAAGCGGGAAGGCGTTTCGTGCGATTTAAGATGAAGCTCAAGATAGCTGGCAACCATGTTTTTTTAAGCCCCAAGATGGCCGAAATGTCGTTACTATGCTGCATACCTTGTTCAGCGGTTCTATTTCGGACGAAGCGTTGGAGTAAAGATTATCTGCCTCACTCGAGTGACTGCCGCAACATTCTTTCTTGGAACGTGTGAATTTCGACCAGCGAGCGAACGCCATTTTAGGTTACATTCTTAAAGCGTTGAGTCAAGGGAAAATGAGAAACAAACGGCAAAAGCAGTCTCTTTTCTTTTTTCTTTTTTGGGTGGTTGGGGGGGGGGGGGGGGGGGGGGGGGGAGGGATTTTAAGTACTTTTTCCAGCCAACACTTCTGCATCCTTTCACCTTTTGCAAAGTTATGATTCTCGGTACACGAAGGAGGAAGTCGGCGTTTATTGAGTAGGCGTATTCTCCAAGTTCGTGATCTTGGAATAGAATGCCAGTGAAAGTTGTTGCTCTGTGAGTGTGGTTTGTTCCGTGAAATGTATACTTCCTCGGAGCTTCGGGAATTTTCGGGTCTGCCCACCGTAAAAACAACGAGCAAGAATTTACTTACATAAGTGCTATACTGTGGGCCTAGGAGCATCGACGTGTTTTCACTTGGTTTATTATTCCGTGCCTTCTGTTCCGTTTCCGAGCACCAATGTAACTGATTACATCTTTCTATAGGGTTATGACATCAGTCCACGTGGAACAGACAGGCAAGTCTGTTTGGAGTGACTTTGAGGAATGTGGTATGTCCCTGCCGCTCGAGGCGACACCTAACGTCAAACAGTGGGGTATATTAAAAGTACCAGACGGCCGTACTGCAGTGTACTAGAATAATAATTAGCCGTACCTCAAGCCACCATTCCGATTAGAACCTTTTCACCATATGATCGCGCAACAAGAATTCTCGTTTTGTAGCATATTTTCGACAAGCAAGGTCTCTTGTCTCAACCTGCGTTCTTTTACCGTGCTTAATGTATATTAGGAGAAAAGATATATTTATATAGCTTTTTTATTCATACTTTTTGTGATTTTAGTAGAGATTTCTACACTCTCCACATTACTCGGTATATCTTGATACAGAAGCAGAGACTCAAAACGTGAAAGCGTTTGGAATTGCACGTGGCTCAACATTTTTTTTTTTTTCGTTCATACATTTAAACTACTTGCATTTCGGCTGACGAAACGCAAAACTTGAGGAAGTACCGTTAAAGATGTAGGAAATACAGGATTTTTTGTTCCTTTATTACTTTTCCAGAAGCAACGGGCTGAAGAAATGGAATGTTCCAGGCAGATAAGCGGAGAAATTTGCGAAGCGCTTCCCGCTCGCAATGCCAGCGCGCCTTGCATCATCATTTCTGCTCCGCTCGAAACCAGAAACCATCAGCGAGTACGCCGGTTTCGTCTGCTCGTTGTTGTCCTTTTCTGTATCGTCTGCTATGTCCCCTGTCTGCTATTTCCTGCTCCCTCCGCCGCTAGTGCAAGTACAGGCCAGCGTCGTTTAACCTCGTGACACAGTATCAGTGCGTCAAGGGGAAAGCGTCTCTCGCCGCCGAACGTAAACAACGCCTACATTGAAAACAATTTCACTTTGGGAAGGCCCGGTGAAGCTTGTCGGAGAGTCAATGGAAAAGAAAGACCACGCCCACTCAAGGCAGCGGCGGCGGCTCGGCCGGCTTCGACCGCAGCACTCCATCTGCGTCCGCCACCAAAAAGTAGTTCCTTCCGTATTACACCGCTTTGTAACCGTAGGTTGCACTTTGTATCCCATTTCGGTTTACGTGAACGAATATGTTTGGGGGTTCAGTGGTGTTTCAGGCGTTTTGGATGATCGAGAGATCTTTGCGCGTCTTTGGAGCTCGTTTTCGCGCTAAATAGAGGTCGTCTGCTCCTAGACGAGCGTGCCGGCCTCCCGTAGGCCGGCGGCCCGGTTAAAAATGTGGCGTGATTCCGTCTGGCGCTCTTCCGCGAATCGGCTGTACCCCCAGTTGTTTTTTTCACTGGTTTTTCACGGTTTTGCCCAGCCGCCGCCGGTGGTTTATTTGGCGCTAGCATCAACCTCCCTTGAAACCGAAACCAAAAACTCACTATTTTCAGTTTCGCTCCGATTAGCGTCTAGAATGTAGCAGACGAAAATCTTGTTTGCCTTCTATTATGCTAAAAACAACAACAACAAAAGCGCTAAGTCCGTTAGCGGCGCTATTCAGAGGTCTCTCTCGGATTTCCATTTTGTTTTTTCCCTAATGTTGCGCAATAGTACCTCTAATTCTGTTAAGGCAGGGGAATACCGAACACTTACATGCCTTGATGGTTTCCACACCCTGCCTAGGAGAGAGGGGAGGGGGGGAGCTTGGCATCTTAATAGCGGACGACTAGGTAAATGATTCTTTGAAGGCTATTAGCACTATTAGCCTGCCATGGTGCCGACGTAAAAAAAAAATCACAAAGACAAGTTGGCGCCAAAGGGACACAGCACGTGGTAGTGTATGCACACAAAACTTCTGTGGGGTTACTTCACTGCTTCTCTCTGTTTTGAACTTGCTATGCGCACATGACAGGCGATCAGCTTGATAATTATGGCGTTCGTGGCGCCGTCGACAGAAAAATCAAGATGTCGGTCGGCGCCCGTTTGACGCACGGCGCGCATGGCGGGTTTCGTCTGACGCAATGCTCGCATCAGTTGGATCAGCGGCAACTCGCGTGCTGGTCAAGATTATTTCCGTAACACGCGCGGCAATATTTTTGTTGTTGTCATCGTTGATGATGAGGACATCTAGTGAGTGGATGGAGTCCAAGCTCAATGTTTAATCATCCAATCAAATTATAATTTCATCTCGTGGAAATGGAGCGTGCTGTTGAAGTTACGGTTTTAGAGGCGAATTACATGAATTTATCTAACACCCTATAATTTTATCCAACTTCCTCGTGAAGGCCATTTTCTTCATTTTGTTTTATCTATGCTTGTTTTGGAAATATATTATTATCCTCAGTTTAGCTTCTTTTAAGGCGAAAACCACAGTAATAACCATAATTTAAACAATAAGAAGAGATTAATTATTATTATATTTTTAGTAATAAATAGAGATTAATGTTCGACTTTTTTTTTAATTAAACAGGATTGATTTGTTTTTTGTTTTTTTGTTTCTTTTTTTTATTGGGAACAAATTGAGATTGAATACATTTTATTTTTGTTACAGAAATCGTGTGAAATACTTATTGGTTTCAGTAATATGTAAAATACTTTCAGATATTGCCAATAACGAAAACTGAGCAAACAAATATCTTCGAAAGAACAATAGTCATTAATTAAATTTTACTTTAGAACCGCACCCTGTTCAAAAGAATGCACAATGAAGAGCAGAACTCACTTTCTCCAGACGGCGGAAAAAGAAGTATTAAATATGATCAGTTCAGTTTCGAAATTACATTCAAAATTTACCGCCTCGCGCGAACTTCGCTACCATCGCTCCATCGCTACCTCCGAGAGAAAAAAAAAAAACAAACAAAAAAACACGTCACAAAAAAAGAACACAACGCTGTGGTGACGCTTGAGGGAACTTCCTCCCCAAGGTGGTGTGATCCGAGCGCCTCCTCCCCATTGGCCGGTTCCTTCTTCTCCAAAACCCATGACGTCACAACAATTCGCTCGCGCACCCCCAAACGTCATCGCCACGTCTCCGCGACGCGGCAAAGTCGGGGAGGGGTGGCGTCCGCATAGGGAACAGCCTTCCAACGCGATATCGTACGATTTCTCCGTCGACACGGTGCTGGTCCGGCCGTGCTCACACCGTTCGCACCACGCTACCCGAGCGGGAAAACTTCTACGTCCTTTTCCTTCCTAACGGCAACGTTACCGGCCCGTTCTCGTCGGTCTGTGGGGTGTGAATTCCTGGTTAGGTCTGCCCGTCTACGGTGTAACCGGCGTCCGGATTTGGGTGCGGCGGCGTGAACGAAGCAAGTGCGTCGGTTGGATCAAAGCGTGGTGCAGCCCGGCGCAATGGGCGTCGTACGGTGGAACTGCGCGGCTTCTACGTCGTCTTTGCTCCTCGTCGCTGTCGTCTTCTACGTGGCTCAACTGAGTCGGACAGTACACGCAGCCAGTGAGTATCCAAAGTGTAACGTCGCTTCTGCCCCTGCAAAAGTGCTAGCGTCCATGTGGTGGTCTCCGGCGCAAATTCCATACATTGAAAAGCCGGTCTTTTTTTGCTTTCTTTTTTCTTTTGGTGAGCGGCGTTCCAGACGGTTCTACGGTCGTGTGTTCAGGAAGTCGGGTTCAGCTCGTCGCACGTCGATTATTTTAAGTTTTAACGTTCCAGTTTGGATTATACTCGCAAATGTAACGCCGGTTTACGGTGGACTAGCGTTTTGAAGGTTCGAGATGGCGGTAGTCCTTCCATCTTACTGGAGGTCAGTGATACGCGAGCGAATCTTTGGCGACGCCGCGGACGATCCCGATTTTTTCGCTCGAATGGTGTCATTTTTTGTTTTGTTTTATGGTTGTTGAACACAGTGGCATTTGCAGATGACATAGCAGTTAGGTCAACCGTTTAGACTAAACCCATTCATTCGATGTATCGTTTTGGGGGGCGTGGTTTTTGCTGACTTTATTAAAAAATAACTGAAGTCGCCGTAGTTCCTGTCTGACTAGTTTTCCTTATAATAAAACTTAAATTGAAGGTGTCTGGATGAAATTTTAGTCACCATTGATCAAATTAAACCAAAATGCGCGATGGGTACTCGAATTTTACGCACAACACTGCTGTATAAAAAGAAAAGTAATTCATTTAATGAAGGTTTCCGAATTAGTCGTTCTGGTATATTTATGAAGGAAAAAAAATAAGAGCTCAAAGTTGGGCTCCATTTAAACACGAACATATTACGTGAGGAGTTAACAGACCAGTGAGCTACATGTCGAGTGTCATTAACTCAAATCTGAATTGGACGAGCACATTTCAAAACACTCCGAGATTATACTTCTGTTCAAATGTGGCGTCGTCAGAATGTACGGAAATCGATGTCTCTAGTCACGTAAGCTCACTAGCTGTTCCCACTATATTTAACAGGAACATTCGCTGCATTATCTTCTAAAATTTGTTACAAACAGCAAAAAAAAAAAAAAAAGTTTCTAATGGAACACGATTAGCTCCGATTTGGAACACGAATCACTCGATTTCGATAGAATGCCATATCTTCTGTGTCCGGTCAAACTCCGTCCAATGAACCTATGTCCAGTCAAACGCTTTCTGATGAACCTGTGTTCGATGAGACAATGTCCATTCAAACGTCGATGGGACGGCGTCCCGTCAACTTGTGAAACTGCGTCCGATGAAACTCTGATCTCTAGAGAAAGCGCAGCGCTTCACTGTACAGCGCAAAAGCCAATGCTCCTTTTCCATCTTTTATCGCGACTTTTTGCGTGGAGCTCTTGGGGCATGCGAGTTCGATAAACCTTTGCGCAAATTTCGTAATGCTCCCGTCGCGCTGGGGTGGTATCTTCGGATAAAAGGACGGGCCGTCTCAGATTTCCTACTTCCTAGAGTTGGTGCCACGCGCTATTCCCCACTGTGTTGACTATCCAGGGCAGTCTTTTGACAGCGGATTTTGGGTTTGAGCCAATTGATAGTGGGACGCATCTAATCACAAGCGAGTAAGGTTTTTTTTTTTTTTTTTTTGTGTGTAGATTTCTGTGTAACTCTGACCGGATTTATCTATTCTTCCTGGTGAGGGCCGTATCGATTTTCTGAAAGAAATCGAAACTACGCGTGCGACTGGAGTGGGTCACGTGGTCAGGTTATCTCACCCCTCTTCCTTCTGCACCGTAGACCCCTTGTCAAGGTCACGGCTGGATTGTTCGCTTTTCGAAAATATCGATTCATTGATCTGTCATTAGGGGTCATCTATCGAAACCTAACGATCATTCTTGAAAATGGTTAATTTTTTTTTTTCTCGTATCATTGACCCTACAACCTTGCAGTTCACGCGTACTACTTCAATGCCTGACCATGATTTATAAAATTGTTGGTACGCGAATGCTAGTAGGCCACAACAACAAATGTTCGGATTCTTTTTTTTTTTTTTTTTTTGTAGCGGAAATAGTTTCCAACAGTCGGCCGCTAACCCTGTTGTAATTTTTAATGATTGAAACACGTGGTGGTAAAAGAAGAGATGACCAGTTTTTCCTGGCCTTGATCTTGGAACGGACGCCTTTCGGAGAACTCCGGGGGCGACTGCGTTCCAACTTCCAACACGAGCCAATTTTGGACAATTATTTTTGTTACGTTCTTTTTTTTTTTCTGTTTTATCTCGTGAAAAGAAACCCTAGATTTCCCGCCGAACTGGAATGTCGGCGCGCTTGCGAAGTCCTCCTTTTTGTATGCGTGTGTGTACGTGTGCGTGTTTGGTATTGCGTTATCTGGCGTTATGTGCAACTTGGGACAAAAACTTGGTGTCGTTTCTTTTCTGTCTCGGCTATTTTCTTGAAAAAGGATAAAATGTAATACCGAGGTCAAATGAAACAGAAAAAAAAACAAAAAAAAAAAAACGATGTCTCTGTCCGTTTGTCGGCGCTTTGCCCGAATCCTGACCTGCGCGGCGAGTCCTTTAATCATTTTTTTTTTTTACGAATTAGAGATAAGAATTTTTAAGACACAACTTCTCGACAAATGAAGAAAAAAAAAAAAAAAAAAAAAGGCATCGTAGTAGGATTCGGTTCCTTCCTTTCCACATGCGGCGAAAAAAATGAAAAATAAAAAAAAGTGCCATTAAGTTTTACGCTATCAACTTTACGTCTCTGAACGTCGCACTTTAGATTTTATTGTAACGAAAAAAAGAAGAAAAAAAAAACAAAAAAAAAATAGTTACGTTACTCTATTGTGACGTCAACTTTACAACTATTTTTTTTTTCTTGTTTTTTTTGCGGGGTTTGCCGCAATGAAACGCCGTTTATTTTCTGCGACACGAGTGTCGACGGTAATTGGACGCTAGTTTCCACGTAAACGCAAACTTTAACATGTAAAAAAAAAAAATGTTGGCGGAAACGGTACAAAGTCTTCAAGAATGTTTGATTAATTTGGAGATTTTCTAATCGGACGTTCTCGAACAAAGCAAAAAGCGATATCGTGATCGGCGTTTATGCACCAACACGCGTGGTTGAACGCCCGCGTTTGCCCACACAGGGGGTGGGCACTGCGCATGCGCTGTACCACCGCTGGGGTGTGACGTCACAGGGTCGCGTTATTCAACTCTGGCTTAGTTATCTATGACAAGTTACCTATAGTTGTCAGAAATGAAGTGATCAGGTCGTAAACTCCACCTGATTGACCTGACCTTCGGCGTTTATTCCCTTGTCAAAACAAATGACGGCGTTTTTTGATAATTACCGAAAAACGCCGATTCGTCGTGCTCAGTACAAGATAATATTTTTTGACGAGAGATCGAAGAAATTTTGACGCAAACCGTTCGTTTCCGCCCCTGAACAAACAAAACAAAAACAAATAGAAACTGTACCGTTCTTTTTGTGTTCTCGGCCGCAATTTTCTTTTTGCCAAACTATCTTTTGTGTGGTGCACCGTGCTTCGGGACGCCTTGTATTTAAATATATGTGTATTTTTTTTTTTATTGGTGAGTGCTGATTTTGTGTGCGACTGTACCCAAAAAAAAAAAAGGAAAGAAAAAAATATGCCTCAACATTTCTGCACATACGTGTGACATGCCCCAAGTGTGATTCTGGTCGTAAATATTAATATTATCCGGGTTAAAATGTGCGGGACTATCGTGACACGTGCGATTGCTTACATCTTTATTTTAATAAAAAAAAAAAAAAAGCCAAAATATCAAATGTTTAACTTTATGAAGCATGTTTAAGCACACGGGTCTGCCCCCCCCCCCCCCCCCCCCCCTTTTTTTTTCTTCTTCTCCATTTAGACGAATTGCTTCGATTAATTTGGGTCGTTCGGGATGAAAGGCTCCGGGATCTGGAGCGCGCGAATTTTGACAAGAAAGTTAGTGGACGCTGTTTCAAGTTGTCGACTGTGAAGGCCCGTCCACACACTTGCCTTTGCTTACCTGATCTCTCAGCATGAGGGAACACACTTAAGGCCGTTACCGCCATCTATGAGGTGGATCTGAAACTGCATTTCACTAGAGCGAAGGTTCTGCCGTATTTACGAGATAAAATTTACGTACTATCGAAGAAATGATCGTTCATGGCATTGCCAAAATTGAAAACAAAATATCGAGAAAAAGAAAAAGTCAGCCGCTTTCATGCTACCCAGTAAATGGAGGTTCTCTCGTCGTAAAAGGTTGTAGGAGGTTTTAAGGTACACGGTCGTAACCGGTCGCAACTGTGTGAACACGGATTTGTGGATAAATTTATATATTTTCCGCACGTGCCGCCAGAGTTAATGCCACACAATAGTCTTCTCCACATGGTGAAAGGTCGACAGACTACCTAAACTATTGTGTATTGGAAGAAAAAAAAAAAAAAGAAAAGAAAAAAGGCTAAGGCGTTGCCGCAGCTGCTGACATATACTGGACCCCACACGTCAGAAGCAAACAATGTGGCCAGCGACTGCGTCACAAGAAATTGCGCCCGTGCTTCTCGGAAGTTTTTTTTTTTTTTTTTCCTTGACGTCATAACATTTGTTCGTTTCATTTTCCTCGTGACTTTTTTATATTTAGTTTCTTTTATTAATTTACAGAAAAAAATATCTGCAGCGCTGAAGCTTCCGCATTATTGCAGATGCAACACATATCTAAAAAAAAAAACGCTCAAGACCAAATTTAAAAGGACCCTTCAATATTTAGTCAATAAATAAAATACATACACATTGAGCATGCATAGCATTAAAAAATCAAGGTCACTTACTAAGTGGTCCCACGTCGTCATGAATAAAAACAGACTCGGGTAACAAATTCCATTGAGTAATTGTGTGTGAAAAAAATATTCTTATAATCTGTTAAAACAAAAAAAAACTTTTTTTTTTTTTATACACATGGCAGAGTTGACGTTAGACGCCACGACATTGTTTCTGCCACTGTACCGAACCAATTTGATTGGATTGGATTGGATTGGCCGATTGGACGCGTCACTCGCGTCCAATCGGCGTTTTCGCAGTCTCTCGCCGTGATGACGTCGAAATCGGAGTGCACTGGTGTTGACCCAACTATGGCGTCCCAGGGCGCAGTTCGCGGCAGGCGATCCTTGACCGCGGTTATTGAATGTGTCACGGGAAAACGTCGCTGCTACTTGTGACTCTTGGGACGCGACCACGGTTATTGAATGTGTCCAAGAGTCACAAGTGGCACGTCTCAAGACTTACTTGTGACTCTTGAGACGTGTCACTGGGATGAGGCGCCCCGCTCCTGTGACGTCACAAGATCTTTTTTTACTTTTACTTTTTCCGTAATTTTAATGTTAATCTTAAATACGCCGTATTTGACCCCCGAGCATTGAATAGGTAACGCGCTGCGTTTAATGTTTTAATGAGAGTGTGTTTTTCAGGTGTTTTTGGAACTTACGGGGTTTGATGTTGTGTAGCGCGGAGAAAAGCAACCGCAGCTGCATAGTTAGGAATAGAATTCGCGAGGAATCGTCTGTGTGTGTGTTTAGCACACACACCTTCGGGTGATGTTGGTAGAGTGCGTATTTTCCGTTTCCTGGTCTGCCGCCTCGCGCATGTGCACGGTCCTGACGGGTTCGCCAAAAATATGCACGCATTTTTTGTTGTTTCAGCGTTTCTTTTCTTCCTTTTTTCTTTTGTTCGACGTTGTGTACCGTTTGTTCTTGTTATTATGACACCTGTCGTGCTTGCCTCCTTTCTTTTCCGACTTCTCGCTAGAGACAAAAAAATAAATAAAAAAAAAAGGGTATACACTAGGCAAAGCAAGACTTGTCCCAGCGAACGGCCTCATTTTGTCGGAAACGTTCATTTTCGTCGCTCTCCTGGGAAGAAAGCGGTGCAACGCACCACACCACCGAGAAAATTTGGACACGTTTGATTTGATTCAAACAACAACCACCGATGTTTTATTCATTATTTTTTTTCTCGCAAAATTGGTTGTTGAGCCTATCGAGCATTCTGACCTTATGTTCACGAACAATTTTAACGCGAAGCGGTCTTTGGCTAGGTGTTCGGCACTTCGTGAAGCCCATTGTGTGTTTGTGTGTGTTTGTTTGTTTGTTTGTTTGCAGGCGCTGTAGAATAGATTGGGGGGGGGGGGGGGGAGTGAGAGCTAATTTCCCGAAAGTGAAGCCTGGATAAAAGCGTGGCCGCGAGACTCGAAACTGATTGGTTGACGGATGGGAGAGGAAGCTAAAGTGGAAAGGGTGGCGGGCTTTGTGGAGGAGCCTGTCGTCCTATTGTTAAACATTCAACAAATACAATGTGTAGTGCATATGTCTGCGTATATAATGTTTGCTATTTGTCGTTGTAGACATGGGGCGCGGACAAGGAAACGGCTGTCGCGCGCGGATAGTTCTTACTTAATTAATACTACCTTAAAGGCCCTAGTGCTAGACAATATGGGAGGGATGGCTTGCCGAGAGGAAGATTAGATAAACAAAGTAAACCATATAATCGAGAACAATGAGAGGTAAAAACAAGCAAACAATGCTCTTGATAATGAAATAATATACTTAGTCAGTGCGACCTCGTGAACGCCGTACTTACAATTCTGAGTGCCGGCAAGCAGAAACCGGGGAAAAAAAAAAAAAAAAAAAAAAAAAAAAAAAAAAAAAAAAAAAAAAAAAAAAAAAACGAAATGTGAAGGCAGACATAATGCGTTGCTCTCAATGTATAGTTATAAATTTTAATCAACAGGCTTCGTCTGGTTAATCGGCGGGGTGTGATTGTAAATGGGGCTTGGCTGTTGTGTTGAAAGACGGGGTGAGTGTGGGTCAAGGTGTCCTAAAACGCGCTACTCCGTCATTTGTAAAAAAAAAAAAAAAAATTAAAGTGGCAATGTTTTCCGCTTTTTGTTTTTTTTAATCTAGGGAATACGACAGTTTCGACTTTCTGGAATGAATTCAGTCATTGAAACTGACTATACAAACAAACTGGTCTATCCGTTTTTTTTTGTTTAATCTAATCTGCCCATAATATGATTGTGTTGTGTGTATGTTTAGACGGCAGGAAGGTAGTCAGCCCGAATGTACGTCTGGTGTCTTCGCTCCAGTGTTATACTGGGGGGGGGGGGGGGGGGGGGGTCTTGGGGGTCTTTAACGTGTATCACACTGTAGTGATACAGATTTAATGCACGCCTGTACAATACTTGTCCGTCCAGATCGAAACCGGCAGGGGCGGGGATCGATCCCATTCCTGGGTAATCGTCATTACCGTTTTCGACGAAAGTGCAGCGTTTTGGTTTTGCCGGTTTTCGAGTGTCATTTCGTGGAGCGAACGCATTGCCTTTTCTCTGACACTTTTTTTTTTTCTTCTCCGCTTGCAGACGACTGTTCGACGAGTCAGTTCAAGTGCGCCGCCGGCGACAAGTGCATACCCCTGACGTGGCACTGCGACTCCGACACGGACTGCCCGGACGGATCGGACGAAGTCGGATGCGGTGAGTTTTTCACTGCTCGGCGTGCGCCTAGAACAAGCCTTAGGGGGCGTTGGCCACCGCCCAATTCGTAGTTCCGTACGTTTGCACGCGAACGTCTGATCATCTATATTACTCTCACAGTGGTGACCGCGGTGGAAAAAGAGTGGTGTCTAAACAAGGCCGACCAAGGCGGCTACAGTTTGCTTGGCCTTCGCGCATATCCCGCCAGGAGCGCTGTCGGTTCAGGGCCTTCGCGCGTGTGCGGGCTCCCCGATTGGTTCTCATCGGTCCCTTACATGGTGCGCCATCTTGGGACGCTTGTCATGAATGCGAGCGAACTTTCGCCACACTTCTCTGGCGAGGCGGTGCCGTTCACACACACCTACTCTTTCCCGTGGCCAACTGTCACGTGCTTCGCTCCTGGCGCTCTGATTGGCTCACAAGAGGCCCTAGCTTTTACCCTCTGCTAAGATATACGCAACGTACAAGATTTCTTCCGCATGCCGTCCGGCAGTCGTCGTAAGGGAGGGTGGTCGGGCGTGATGCGAAAGGTCATCGGTTTCTGACCGATTGAGCGCCGACCGTTGATGAGGAACAGCAGACGGCGTCGGCGTAGGAGGCAGAAATCGTTCGATTGACAGATCTAGGGCAACCCGGCACAGCTAGCAGACGCGCGACTGCCGCGTGTTGCAAACAACAAAATACGAAGAAAAAAAAAAAAATCTGGCGCCAGTGAAAGTTGTACATTTGTCGGTCGGCATAGCTTTGCACATTTTGTTATCCGGTTCGGCGGCATGAGTGTACAAAAATGTTTCCTTTTTTTTCTTTTTCCCCTTTTTGTTCGGGATTGGGTTGATTGATTGACGTTGTCTCTAGTAAACTACTACTACTGCCAGTACTGCTGCTGCTACTATTACTAATAAGACTAATAAGCAAGTAATAATTTGAACAATAGTAGTAATATTAATGATTATAATGCTAATAATAATAATAGTGAAGAAAATAACACGATCAAGACCTAATGTCGAATATCGAGTCTAACAAAAACCTACGGGCCTCAGCGGTCAGCTAATTCGCGTTAGCAAAGTCGACAACTCGTGTGCTGTGTTGATACTAATGAAAGGTCACTGGAAGGTCAGCGATCTCAGTCTCCTCTTTTCCTTTTTTTAAAGTCACGTTTTCGTTACATGAATGGCCGTTCCTCGTAACACCGGAAGTGGTACGTACCGGCGGAAATGAGGTCAATATCGCCGACGTGATCAAAGCCCGCGGTGCCATGTTTCCTGTTTTTCTTGTGACGGCGGCGGCACGCGTTTGTGCGCCGATCTATTTTTGGGGTCTAGGCGGTGTCGGAGTTCTGGCCTCGGCGCGGGTCTCTCTCAAACTTCCTCTCCCCTTTTTCCACCCTTCTTCTCATCCATAGCTACTCGCTCTACCTTTCTTTTTCTATGTGTAGCCTAGCGTTCAGTGGTAAGCCTGAGCGAGAAGACAAGTTTCATCCTTTCCACTTTTACCTTCTGTTGTTGCTTATACTTTCTCTCTTTTGTGCACCTCCTCGCCTATCAGGGAATAGCAGACGGCAGCGACGACTTCCTGCTGGTCTGCTCGGGTGATCGTCTGCTAAAAGAATTCGGCGTTCCTTTCCTGGCGTCCGTGAAGGTCGCGCGGGATCTCGATTGGGACTGGCAAGAACGGAAAGAATTTACGCTCTACGGGTTCTTCTTTTTCTTTTTTTTTAAAGTTTTTTGTATGAAACGTTAGAGTCGGTCTGCTTGCCTAAGCTCGCCTCAGAGGGATCAAGTAAAGAAGTTTCACTTTACTGGATTGAACGTTTCGTAAAATTTGCTTACTTTCGTACTTATTTGATTTATATGCACTTCCCCCTTTCTATACCTCCATACACAAAGCTCTTTTTTTCTTCATTTATGGGAGGTGGGGCCATTCAGTGGAAAGGACGTGAAGGAGCGAAAGGGAGAGCGAAGCGTGCGGCGAAGGCTGGTGGTGCGATCTGGTGGCGAAAGCGAGAAACGAAGGCACGGGAATTGGGAGTGGGATTAGGAGAGCACGTGAACATATTTCATTCAGAATTTATTTTGGCTTACATCAGTACATGGTCGATTTTTATTTGAACGTTCCTCGTTTATGGTATATGTAGGTTATTCGGTTTGTGCTGAATCTTGTGTAATAAATACCGAGTGAAACATATTCACGTTATTTCAGTTATGCCATTCTCTGATTAGTGAATTTTTTTCTTAACGCATAACAAAGCGTACCATTTCCGAGGCCTCCACGGTTTCTTGTTTATTTTTTTTTAAAAGAAATTTAAACAAGTCCGGTATTCACGAAATCGCTTTACAGGTGCAGGTCGTACACAACTGGAACGAGTTTTAAGCGTGATACTAGATCATGCACACAAAGTGTACGGACGGCGGTTCTGCCGATGTTCCCCACATCTTCAATCTAAAATATTTAATCCCTTACACCTAACCGGATAAAAAAAAATTCATGGTCGTTGTGTATTTTTGCGAGTTTCTTCAGTTTCTTCTACGGTTTCTCACGATAACCTCCGCGTGTGGCGCCACCGTCGCGTCGGCGTTGTGCGTCTGCCGAAGCGTTTTCCTTTGTTCGGCGTTTGAATCGGGATATTCAAATTTCGATGTGACGTACATGTGCGTCTCGTCTCGGATCGCATCGTCGTGTTCGACTCTGGATCTCGTGTGACGCTCGCATGCGTGCCGCATCCCTACCACGTGACCGACTCACGCATCGCGGAGAGGCTTGGGGTGTGGTGTCTGTCTGACTTGGAAAGAGCAGACTTCCGAACCTTCGATCGCATTTTCCCGGGCGCGCGCTTTATTTAGACTTGGACACATACTGGCCTTTTCTCCATCCTTGCATCTCACATTTTTTTTTACTCATTGCCGGTTTTCTGCGTGATCTCGTCAAAATGTTTTCAGCAGCTTTTTTTCTTTAGTAGGTTTTTACGTTAGTTTAGAAAAAAAAAAAAAAAAAAAAAAAGGGCTGTTCCTTCCTTCTCTAGAAAATGTTAAGAGAACTTTGAGTAACAGTAGACAATTTAAGGGAGGATATGGCCTCGAAATTCAAATTTTTCATAATTTTTGTTTGTTCAAAAATGATATGTTTATGTTTATTAACTTCCAAAGAATGGTTTCAGAAACTTTCGTTTATAAGCATGCGGGATTTATCTCCCAATAAATTATTTTTGACATGTCGGCAGCCCTCCGATTCAGCAAAAATCAAGTTTTTTTTTTTTTTTTTTTGCGTTTTTTATTTAGCGTTGTTTCATACTCATTGGAAGTGCTATTTGCTCGAGATTTAGCCCGTAGAAGCTTTCCAAGTTTAAAAGTATCAATGGTCAAGACAACCCTATATATCCAAATGTAAAACTTTCTGAAAATTTGGTATATGAGCAATCTTATTGGTTGAGACTCGAAACAGGGTTTACGACTAGTCCTGCCCGGTGACGTGATATTGTGCCATCTTCAGTAACACTTTTTCACAGTATCATCCACTTCAGACTATTCCTGCTTTGCTGCTGTTCCTTGGTATAATTTGCCTCTTAGTTCTTGCCAGTTTATCTGCCAAGGAAGGCCTGCTACAAAAGCTCGCTTGCCTACAAACAACATAGACTGGTAGCTATTGCCAGAGGAACAGCGAAGTCTCAACGAAGGTGCTAACAATGCTCCAGGTGAATTTTGCGTACCTCGGAAAGAAACCTAAAGTTGAAACTTCGAATGCATTTTTCTCAGTTTCACTTTTTGGCAAGAAAATGTGGTATGAGGAAGTGTATCGTTTGACATTTCGAAAGTGTAAAGATTTCATTTAGTGGTGTCCTGGGCTGAAATTTCCCGAGGTCATAATCTGAAAAAGCTAACTTCGTGACGAAAACTGAATATTTTAAAACACGGAAATTTGTTAAAATCGTTTGCTCTTTTCGGGTGTTATGTTTTCACATTAAACCAAACATTTTGTGGATTGCAATTATTTTTTTAATACATTTCCCAATAAAGCAACTTTTTTCTGCAGCATCTTAAGCACAGTATGTTATAGAATTGTCCTATAAGACAAACTTTAGATGTCATCAATCCTAGCGGGGTTCAATTTACCGTGACAGTTTGAATCAATTCGAGGGAACGGTTCAAAAGTTGACCCTCCCAAGCCATGCCCCCCCCCCCCCCCCCCCCCCCCCTCCCTCCCTCTCCTTAATACACGGACGTTTCTCAATGAATCTTTGCTTTCTCAGCCTGTATACTCTGTCTGTGACGCTTTACTCGGAGAATGGTAGAAACGTCGTGAAATGGACTTCATTTGCCGATTGAATGCGGAAAAGTTGTCATAGGGTGCGCTTTCCACAACAGAAGCAGCGAGAACTCTTTGCGTTTCCTCATTTATGTAACAGAGCTGGTAAATAAAGCGCGTGCATTCATTACAGAAGAACTTTGCCAACACTTATTGCCGTTAGCTATTCGCAACGCCATGCTCTGCGTTTCGTGCCCGTTCCTCTGTTCCGCACCCTGACCGCTAGGACGCGTCAGTTTCCGCCGCCCCTTTTGGATAGACGCAAGCTATCCCGCTTCGCTGGTTCACGCTTTCTTCGCTGCGTGGCGTCGCCGTTGCGAGTATGACAAGAGAGATTCTGTATTACGAAGAGTATCCAACGATCGGGGTCATGTGGTTTATGGGCTGCCATTTTCGATACGAGCGGCGAGGAGGTGACGAAAGCGTTGATCGTCTGCAAACTCATCCGCCTTTCCTCCTCGCCAGCGCATGCGCAGTTGTATCTATTGCCGCACGAGGTGTCCGCCATTATATTGCAAACGCTCCCCATAGTTTGAGATGATTTTGTTGCCGATAACATGGCGTCCCAGCTTAACGACGACACATTTTCTTTCACAATCCCTTTCAGTACGGCTCGTTCGATCTAGTTGTGCTGCACGAACGTTATCCTTTTAATTTTTTTTTTATTGCTCTTTTGTGGATTTTGTTAGAAACCTGTCATG